TTTAAATCAGTATTAATCAAGCTGTCAGTTACAGAACATTTTACAAAGTTGCAGTGAAGCTAAAGGAGGTTGGTTATAAAACAACTACCTAGGCTTTTACTTTGTTCAATTCGTAGACTTCAAATGCAAAGTTTAAAAAAGTAAAAAAGTTTAAAAAATGGAGATTAACTAAGAAATTGGTACCCATCCAATACTTTTTTGGTTACCCATGGTAAAAAGTATCATTTGCACACTTTCCAAATATATAATTTATGTTATTATTGTTAAAAGAAAGCTGGAACAAGCTCCTTCTCCAGTTTGCTACCAGAGATGTTGGGACAAAGCCAACATGTGCAAGACGGTGTTCTAATATGAAGAAACTAAAGTTTGTTTTTTTGCGATTATGTTAACATAAAAATTGTTATATGTGCCAGAAAACAATCACCATACCATGTCTGTGGTAAAACATTACGCTGTAGAGGGGCTTCTCTTAAAGGTATTGTGGAGGATTTTCCCCAAATTTTTTTAAAAGACCCACCCTCTCCGCTTTAGAAAAAATACTTTTTCTTAACTGACCGTGCGGACAGATGATCACTGCTTTTTGCTTCGTTGGTCACGTAACTCCTCCTCCACTGCACAGTGCCTGCGTTATCTTTGTTATTAGTCGCCGCTGTCGGGTAGCAACAGCCTATGGCAACAAGCGCCACTGTGCAGCAAATCCCATAATGCTTTGCGAGAAGAGCTCTCCGCGCAAAGCATTCCAGGATATATCTGCCTCTTCTGAGGCCTTTCTTTTCCTCTCATAGACTTCGTAGAAACTTTTTCTCTTACGATCCTCTGCTATTTTCATAGAACCGCGGTGAGAAAGGCGAACTTCTATAAAAAATATAGCTAAAGGGACGAGCACATAGGACGGCCTTACGTAAACATATCACCAGAATGATTGACAATTAGGAGGACCAATTATTGAGATGATCCACCGGGAAATTAAACATTGTCCTCTATACCTTTAAGCAGTGAAACTGGTCAAAGATAGGGGGAAGATTGATGGTGTAACATAAAGGGTAGAACTGAAAGTTCAAGGTTGCAAAATACTTGAGACTGGTGTGGAGGTTCATTAACTATAAACATGTCCACAAGGGATTGGTTGCATATTTAAGATGGTGCAAAAGTAGTTAATTATGAATATATGTCGTCCTTTTCAGGTTTTAAACCAACCTTATATTGGTTTATCACAGAAAAAAAAACACATTGAAGTTTAGTTCAGTGCTCTGCCCCAAAACAAGCAAGCATTTAAAAAAGCATTTGTAGGGCACTATACAGGGAGAATTTGGTTAACACAGAATTTGCATCATGGGTAAATCCCGCATTCCCCCCACCGGATTGAAATGCTCTGAAACATTGATGAAGTATCAAATGACATGTGAATACAAGTTTAATGGACACTGAAGCACTGGGATATTTTGCTCCTACTTCTCTACTTGCAGCGAGTGAAGTGGAAATCTTTGCGAGGATCGAAAAGATTTCCCCTTTTCACAAGTTTTCCTGACAAAGCTGACTCCCAGTGTACAGTAACAGGGGAGCGGTGTCTTATCTGATGTACAGAATCACAGACATGAGGCGGCTCTAATGTAGAAGTGTTTAAAAAAAAAGGGTAAAAAGAATGGGGGGGGTCCTGTCTTATTTTGATTCAAGTACTGAATTGTTCAAAAAGGTCAGATGTTTCATTTTTAAGTTATGGTCTCTGCTCGCACAGTTTTTATGACTCTCAGAAGTGCTCTACGTCTCATGCATAAACTACAGGACGGTTGCAGCCACTTTTTATTTTCCTGCACACAGCGGTTAAAACAAATCCCCTCTGTCAAAGAGAAAATCCTTAAAAAGTACTTCTCAACACTGCCCATTGCACAGAGAAGATAAACTACCATTCACCTCTAAGTTTTATGATCTGTCTTGATAGTGAACAACATAATGCCCCTAAGCATGAATGCAAATCCTATAAGCATACAACTTACATCAGGACAAAATGCACAAGGTAATATATATTCTCTTTTTAAGGTCAGTTTGAATTGTTTTTTCTCATGGGAAAATGCAGGTTGATAAAGAGCAAACAAAACCTCTTTTTTGAATGCTTGTCCTCCATGGCCTCAATGAAGGTTTCATTCCTTTATATTATCCAGCCCAATTCCCAGCATGCATGGCCATTGTGGCGCTTTCAACTGGAGCTCTCCATTGACTGGCCCATTGTCCGGTTGCTCTTTTGTGCGTGCTATCACCGGAGCAGAATCTTTCACCTGAACAGCTCAGGAGCGCAGCCTGGATGTGGTCACATTTAAAAAACAAAAACAAGTGAGTCACCCATGTAGATGCCAGGCGGCGCAATTAACCTGACACTGATGAAGAAATATTTGACACTTTAAAAACCTCCAGTGATGCTTCTTAATAACGTGGTCATTAGTCATGCTCAGGGTGCCTGCGTCACACAGAGATGTTCAATATTACAGCTTGGGCTTTTATTACCGAAACGACTTTTTCCCCCTAGTTTTTTTTTTTTTTTTTTTGAAATATAACAATACACGAGCAGATGTTTGAAAAGTGGCCCTCGGCAACACAAGGCTAGTTAAGATCGATATTGCTTTCAATATTTCTTTCCTTTGACAGATAACCAGTACTGAGGAAAGTCTTGATAAGAGTGGCAACATATGGATGCGGTAAGCCTTGCTTTCTTTTGATTGTGTGACCCCATGACCCATGCCTCTGTTTGAGAGCAAGGCAGCCACATGGTACGGTGGGGGTCTGTCAGGCTCTGGTTATGGGGCATTATTGACCCAGGATTTATAAATATTTAATGCACACATTAAGATCATGGTGGAGGGTGGCCATTAGAGTTCTCCAATAAAAGAGGCTCTCACGATGATTGAATGGTGTGGCAGAGCTAGTGGCTGTTTGTTGGGTACAAAGAAACCTGCTGAGACTATATATACTGTACCTCCAGCCTGCCTGGCAGGCTTCAGAGGTCTTAAAGCGCCCAGCAACTTGTCATGTATTCGTTTTTTTTTACCCTTTGATTTTCAGCTTTTAAAGGGGGTGCTTACGGATTGTTGATGTGAGATTCTGTTAAATAGTTATCAGGACCTGATATCTACCCCTCAGTAGATAATCATTTTTTTATATTTATTTATTTAATATAAAATCAGTTTTGTTGGTCCCATAGGCTTATGGTGTTGTTAGAGTGCCATCCATCCATCTTCTCCCGCTTATTACGTCAGGGTCCAGTGGGGCCAACACTCTATGGGGGTACACGCTGGACAGCTCGCCAGTCTTTCCCAGAGCAACATAGACCATACATTCACATCTAAGGACAACGTTTTTGGACTGTTTTTGTAAGCTGGGGTACCTGGAGAGAACCCACGCATGCACAAGGAGAACATTCAAACTACATGGAGAAATCCCAAAACAGTGCTACAGCCAGTCCAAGAATGACATAGACCTTTTTTAGACTTCTGCTATCCAAAGTCTAAACTTTTATGGGTTTTTAGGCAAATTGCATTTCCATCTTTGCATTTCATCAGATAGATATTTGCAGTACAGTGAAGCAAATAACTGTTTACTCAGCAAACACAGCTGAGCCACTAGTGACCTTCCTGAGTGAAACAGAGACTGAGAGCAGGACATTTAAAGCTCTTTCTTATCTGAGAATACATAATATTTATAATAAAATAAACTGCACTTCATATTAACTGTTATATTTTAATATTTTATTCCACTTATTAATATTTAATAATTACTTTAACAAAAAAACAATAACAACAGGAATGAAAATGTATTTACCAAAAAGGTCACAGAGGTAACTTTGATTGTTGCTGAGGCCTGGAAGCTAAAATCAATTATTCTAAAAATATATTTGATAATAAAGGTAAGAATGATTTTATCGGCTGCTGGTAGCAACATTCTTTTCAGCTATAATGATGAAGTACAAAATCTAAAAATCAATTAAAGGACTTTTAAACGACTAAAGAATGTTTGCCTTTGTATCAAACAGAAAGCTCGCTTCCCTAATAACTAGTTGTAGTTAGTTTTATTTTTTGTTTTTCCTCTTGCAAATTATAGAGTTTTTACAGCAGGTAAGATGCCGTATGAGCTACCTGAAAATATTCACATAGCTTCTTTTCAATAACACTGAAATGTATCCTCAGGTTTTGTATATTTGTTTTTTATTTAATTGATTATTATGAGTTTTGTACCTTTGTTTTTGCTTTTTTGTTTTTTAAAGAACGAAAACAAAAAAACAAAGCAGAGGGCGTGGAAATGGATTCAAAGCTGTGTATCTGAAATAGATAATGCAACGTCAGGAAGCAGATGTGCCCATTGTTATCGGATTCACTCGGTTATCAGGGAAATTATTTGAAGTTTGCAGAAAATTACATTGCTGCTTTTCGTGTATCTGTCCTTTGCACTATCAGCAGCTCCAGGAGGATCTCCTGTGCCGTAGAGATCTGTGCATGTGGGCTGACATAATAAGCTGCTGATATGCTGATTGCTACTCGGGTTGCTGTCACTTAATTGTGCATTAAAGGCAGACGTGGCCTCTGACAATGGTGCCTTGATGAGAAATTGACATTTTGTGACCTGCGCTCTACGAGCACTCAGGATGCCAGATAAGATGCTCAGTTGTTTTTAAGGAGAACCACTTTTCTAGCCTCAAACACTTCTATCCTCCTGTTTGACCCACTTGATGAGTATAGATTTCACAGCCCCCCCTCCCCTTCAAACTCCCAACTATAAGAGGTTCAAAACGATACCAGCTCTTATAGACAAAGGATAACCTTGCTCTTTCAATGTATCGATTCTTTATTAACTAGGTGGCTTAATGCAATGAAATGAGGGATTTGAATGAGCCCCATTTGGGGTGCTTTGAATAAAATAAGCTTGCACTGTTTATGAATGACTACAATGAACCTTTGAAGCACCACGGATGCAGAATGTGCTCATACAAAGACCAATAGAAACAAGTCAGAATGCTCTTGCTGAAAGAATATGGGGAAAGAGCAGTTTTTTATCTTTTATATGGATGTTACACTTCTTCCACAGGTTTCAAACAGTTATCTCCATAGCAATGTCTAAACACTACATCTTACAGATGAATCACAGGTTCGTCCTCAGATGCATCTACTGTCTTTCTTTTGTTTGTTTGTGTTCTTGTTCCTGATTGTCAGTTTTTCTGCCATCCAAACTGGGCTTAAAACTGAAGAAGTCCACAGTTGAGGAGTTATTGTGTTTTGTTGTTGTTGTTTTTTTACTGAAAATTTTAATAAAACATCACTTAGTCATTTCTGTTTCCATTCCAAATGCTGACATTTTTAAGTTTTCTTCCCTGTAAACACATGTAAGCTATGTGGCAGAGTCTTAAGTGGTGAGTAAGAATGACTTCTATACATTCTACAAAACAGAAAAAAATACAACCACAAATGGAGTGTTTTTTTTTATCTCCAAGGTTGCCCCTCATGCACATTTGTCTCTATTGGATCTTAACAACTATCATATGGGTCACAAACAATTTATTTGACAATACAACCAACAAAGTTTTCTCCAAAATGGTCGGTATAGATAATTTAAAATCAATATAAAAATAAACAATGAAGTTTGACTTCCCTTTTAAAAAAAATGGACAGAGAGTCTTGACGGTGTAACACAAAAATTTTGAGGATACACATGAAATATATGCACATTGCATTTCATCAAATACAAAAAAGAAAAACAAATGAAGGCAACAGTTCTTGGCTGAATTATCTGTGCTGCATCACTATATTAAGGGCATGACGATTAATACATACATAATGAAAAGCAATATACAAAATTTCAGAGATAAATACATTATTTATAGTTGATATGTTACAAAATTTCCTTCAGTGAGCGCAAGTGTGTATTTGAACAGAAATATGACAATGACCTACTGTACTCCTACATTCTCAATGGGTTTCATTTTTTTTTTCCATTTTTTGTTGATCTAAAAGAACATGAAAAAGACAGATGTATAAATATTTAGCACAAGTTTGGCAATATCACAATAGTCTACATTTTTTTTAACCACATATAAAACACAGGGGAGTTGGAGCCAAAAGGAGACTGCTCCTCATCAACAAGAAACAGACTTCACAGTAGCCTAGGAATGCATTAATATACAGTGCTAGCAAAAAAGTTGAAAAAACATGGCAAAACACACTTGCTTAAAAGGAAGCTCTAGACGTGGAAGTACATCATATTCATCAACAGAGCAGTGTTTTTGTACACATCAGTGTGCTTGTTGACTCCGAGGATTTTTTTTTTCACTTTTGAAGATGATTTCTAACTACAATAAATTACAAAATTTAAGTTAAAATGCAGGAATTAAACATGACACATCACCCCCTCCCCCCACCCCCACCCCATCCCCACCAGAAAATAAATCCTGTTTTTACTTCATATTTGTTGTACATTTATGATCAGTTTTGCTAAATTATATATTTCATATATTTTTCCAGTTGAAATTTAAATGGTCTTGGCCCCTGTGTCATTTTCTCACACATAAAAATACAAAAAGTCACATTATAAAGACGCACAACTGTTGTGAATCTATTAAAAGATGTTGAAACACAAGAGGAAAAAAAAACTGAGGCATACAAGTTTGTTGGCAAATGGTCTGTACATCAGTGTTTTTACTTTACAACCAGATGGTGAGTCCACAGAGTCCTTTCCAGTACTGAGAGCGGCTGTCCGAGGCTGAAGCTCAACTCGACAGGTATACAAAATAAATCCTTCATCATCCTGCGTCCTCTTCAAAGGTTGATAAAATTGTGGGGTATGGAGGGTAAAGAAAAATAAAATCCCACAGAAAAAAACCCATTAAAATATTGTTCTCATTAAATCCTTTTTTCTACAGGTTCTGAAAGTCATTGAAAAGGGAAAAAAAACTGTTTTCTCTCTTTTCTTTCTTCAGAACGAGCAGTTGACTATACATTGCACCGGCATTTTGCAGTGTGCTTGGGAAGAGGGTTTGGGGAGAGGGGGAGTGTCCTGTGAAGTGGTAGTGTGTCGACTGGTGCTCAAGATGACAAAAGTGCATTTACATTGGAGGAACAACCAGGCCGGACATGGCTGAGGGGGATAGAGAAAGGACAAGAGAGCAGATTAGTTGCTTTGGCTGCTACAGATTTAGATTTATAAATTTTAAAATTGTTAAAAACTGAGTGCATGCATGTGTAAAGTGTGTGTGCCAGTGCGTGCTTGTCGGAGTCCAGCCACTTGATGCTGCAACTGCGTGGATGTAAGCCTTTAAATGTGCCTGTTTACGCATGTGCCTGCGAGTGTTTGCCGTGTCCGCCGGCCCTCTCTGCCATACGTTCCTCTAACCTCCCTCCTGCTCTGACATTTCAGCCCACAGCACGCCGCTCCTGCTATGTGTGATATTTCTCTGCCATCGGGGTAATGGCAAACAGTGCCCCAGACTCCCAGGAGAGCTGGCTGTGGTGATGACGGAGAAACAACATGGTCACTTCCTGCAATACCACAACTCTTCTCAGTCTCCCACTCAGATCCATTTCTGACTTCCGTCTCTTTCCCTTGTCTCTTTATCGTATGCCTTTGCGTCATTATCCAATAGAGATTAGGCAAGATCAAAGGTAGCTCCTTTTTATTTCACTAAGACCATCTGCTTTGGATATCATTAGCAACTGTAGTTCACCCTAAGAGTTTATATATTCAGTATTTTCAGATGTTTTAACAATTAGGCGGTTAGTGAAGTGCTAGGATGATATATTAGTGTATTGCTCTCAGTATATTTGTAGAGTCATGCTTGAAATGCTTTTAAGTTTGCCAGCGCAGATGATGGCAAGGCATTGCTCATTAATTTCTGCACAACATGTATTAATAAGTATGAACGTGTAGCAAGATGAACTTTAATTTCCCACTTCATTAAGCCCAATGTTATTAATCTTGGGGCACGCGCTACAGCTAAGCTTGTTTTCAATGCAATCATGTTGGTCATGACACACGCACAAAACCTAATAAACATAATTACTAAAACAATTCGCTGAAGGTCTTGTCCTGCGACATCGGAGCGGATCATTTGTATGTAAGTTCAACGAGGATGTATGTATGCATAAATGTTTGCACAGACACTTTCAGACCTATGCTGTACTGCTCACGCGTGTGTGTGTGTGTGTGTGTGTGTTTGTATGTGTGTGTTGGCATGCTCTCTGTAAGTGTGTGCGTCTAAATGTAAAGTGAAAGGTGTAAATTGGCCTGTCAAAATGCATATATTTGTAATGATTAATCCCTCACCAAACCGGACAGAGGCCTGAGCAGCGGTATCTGACCAGTAGTCCGTAGGGAAGGGATGAGGGGGTGAGGGGGGCTCACCTTGCAGTCCGTTGCCGTTGGCGCTGGTGCAGGAGGGGGGTGGGGAGGCCTGGGGTCGGACCACAGGGGCGAAGGCGCTCTTTTGTTTAACTGCGGAGACGACAGGGAGGGTAAGGAAAGGAGGGAGGGCGAGAATGAAAACGTGCTGTGAGCGGTGCTAGAGAGGGGAGAGGGCAGTTAAGGTAAGGCCAGGGTAGAGTTACTGCCAAAGGGGGGAGGACACATGATCAGTACTCACAGGCCTCTATGGTCAACATTCTGTCCGGTTGAACAAATACATGTATAATGTAGTGAAATAAACCTAACATGTTCACAAATATAAGCCACATGTGTGTTCTCTAAAGTATTCAAACTTTTATGAATGAACACTTACATATGATCACCATCAATAATACTCTCACCCCCATTAGAAACGGTTGGTAGAGGTGCAAACAAATGCGGGAGCTGGAATTAAATCAGCAGCAGCTTAGTGCTACTACAGCGTGCAAGAGTGGCAAGGCACTCACTTCCATATGGGGAGTTGGCAGAGGATCCGTTGAGGAACCCTGGGGAGCTTGGCACACCCAGGTTCATACCGGCATTGCCGTAGCCATTCATGCTGTTGCTGACTGTGTTGTAGCTCGACTGCTGTGGGGTGCTGCTGGAGATGTAGCCTCTGGGGGACACGCTGCTGGTGTTCCGGATGTAGCCAACTGGATGACACAAATGTAAGAAGCAGAAGGACATTCATTCATTTTTTGTCTTTTCTTCTGGGGTGAAGTTGAAGCTCTTGATCAAAGATCTTTACCAGGTAATTATTCAATAACTTCTTTTTTTACTTATGAGTTAGATGTTTCTGTGAACCTCTGGTACCAAAGTGCTAACAAGTAGTGCATCAACGTAATTTTTTGGGGTGACTGGGGGGACATTTTCAAATGTCCTTTTTTGTTCCTGCACATTTTACTGTCCAAAAACAATGTTACGCTACAGAACACATACACTCGTCGAGCACTAAGACCAGTTGGCTGTCACTGCTGTCACTCTGAGAAGCTCACTTTACAAACATCTGATGCACCACTGACTCGGGTCTGTGATTGGATAGTTAAACATGCTGAAGTTAGTTATATAAAAAAATACTTCTGAAATCAAAATTTCGTCCATGAAGTAGCGCTATTTTTACCATTTACATTGAGTGAAGAAAGAAAGGCATTTTACACATATGGTGTTTAAGAATATTGTCAGAAGTAGCACAAAGATTTTAGGACACTGTTTAAGAGCCATCTCTAACATTTTGAGACACATCTAATAAATGGTGATGGCTCTATTTAACATAATTCTGCATGATATCTTTCAAGAATTTATGTATCTTCTTCTTTTATCTATCCTCAGTAAGAAAGGTGAGTAGAGAAATGTACTAAGAAATCTGCAGATGACAGGAGGAAGATGACTTGATTTGAAACTCAGAAATCAGACATTTTTTAATATCAGTGAACCCATGTTATAAACACGCCCCTTAAAGCGGACGTTACTACTAAGGAAAGAAAAGTAAAAGTTGCACTTTTTCAGCTTTGGTGATGTTTCTAAAAATGAAATCAGAAGACGATGTATCCAAAAGGAAACCATGTTCCACAAAACGAGACATACAGTAGCTGCAGTTAATTAAGAGTATGAGACAGAACAAGATTTTCAGTAATAGGAAAGTTAAATGTTAAGCTAATTATATTAAGCATTCTTTTTTTTTCTTTTAGAGCATACTGGAGTTGAAAATGTTTGCAACATTATAGAGAAGACATAAATAAATGACTGTCTTGGTAATGCTTTTCTTGATAATCCCGCTTTGATCTAATATAATACACTAAAAATAGGATGGTAAACTTCCTGTCAGTTTCTTGGTTGTAAAATAGCTGTTAAACTGTTTTATAAAACACCTTATAAAAGACTGATGAATGTAATGCAAATCTTTTTATGACAACATACTACAACTTTCAGAATGAATATATAGAAGATGGCTCATATTAATACTGTTGTTATATTTGGAAATTCTGTATTAGTTATTATTTAAAGCCAACAAAAGGTGAACATATTTTCCCTATTCTTGTAAATTGCTGCGCATTCCTCCAGGTAGCGACAGCGATCCTTCTCTAACCCCCTTTTGAGCACCTCTAAGTTATGGAGCTAACACTCCCAAATCACACACCTTGGTCATTCCCTTGTGACTCAGACACGTTGACTGCTAGCTGGCTGCTGAAGGAGTTGACTCCCATCATGCCATGGGAGGCTGTGTTGGCGAGAGAAGGAATCTGGTTGTGGTTGCGGGGAACACTGTATAGGGCTTCTGCGATGTCAGCTGCCCTCTTCAGAATAATCTCCTGGGAGGCAAAAAGAAGGCAAAGGGTTTTTTAATGCATAATACATGGCTGTCGAGTTGACTCGCAGCACTATTTTCCCCTAGATATAGTGCTGAATGTAAGCCTTAATTATGTCATCAAAAATTCTTTATGTGTAAATCAGACATGCTGAGAGGCTTTTTGAGGTACCTGATTGTTGTGGGGCATTCCATACAGGGCTTCTACGAGATCGGCCGCCCTCTTCAGTAACACCTCCTAATTAGGGAAACAGTAAAAGGAAATAAAAGTTACTCCCACAAAGGATTTTTTCACCCCTCAGGCCTTTGTCCTATCTAAAAGAAGATCCTGCTTTTGAAAAGAAAAAATCTTGCAGTGATTAATATGTTTTTGCTTTCAAGATATTAAAGCCTTAACAATGCAATGATTGCTTATTACTAAATTATTAACCACATACAATGTTTATTTAAGCAACCAACTCCAATTGAATGATAATACCAGCATTTATTGGGCATAGATAGTGACAGAGTGGTTCAAGGAGTGACTGAGCACCATGTTTTTCCTCTCCAGTGTTCAGACTTTTCTTCTTAAAAATGTTAGATGCACTTGAGAACTTGTTACAAAGCAGTCTAACCATCCCAGCAGTAAAGATCAATGACAATGATAGAAAAATTTAATTAACATGGATGAAACGATTGCTTATTTTTATTATTTTTAAACACCATGAAAAACGTGGTAGTCCAACAAAATATCATCTAAAATAGTTTTTGTTATTACTTTTGAGGACAGTGTGGGAGGGTGTGTTTGTGCAAGCAAAGTACAGGTATAACAGACAGAGAGATGCACATTAAAAGTGCTTTAAAATGTTTACATAAATAAGAGCCACCTAGATTGAAGAGGCACCAGAGGTACATTTATACAGCACTACCATTTTGCTCCTTCCAACCATGCAGAGCAGTGAATAATGTTCCCTATCTTAATTAAACTGGCATAGTCCTTTAAAAACAACACCTCACCCCTGATTCCGGGCCCCATGTTTGCTCCAGAGTTCAGTGCCGAGTCCCCTCTCTTCAGAACAATAAAGTGAATTAGCTCTGGGTTAATCTAGTTCTGTTGTAATGACATTAAGGAATTTTTCAATTAACCTCTTTGACTGGCTGTTGCAAAGGACTTCACAAATGACTTCCCATCCAGCAAGAGCTGGGTGCTCGTGCCTTGGGGACACGGATGCTCAGGATGTGGTCTTATCCATGTCTGCATGCTTGCCCCCGCTTGACAATGCGGATTAGCTGTGTTGCTTTGGCTCTTAACAGTGAAAATGAGTTGGCCCAGGATCACCCCCCCAACCACACACACACACATACAATCACACACACACGTACAATGTTTTGGGCTTTCAGCTAGGTGGGGTTTTGGCCTGTTTGTGTGTCTTTATCGGCTCTTTGAATTCAGCACTTACAATTAAATCCCTCTCCAGAAACCAGGCTGCTCTCTTTGTTTTCCATAATACAGAAGGCAGTTTGCTCTATGAAAACCCTCTCCTCCTCTTAAGAGTGCATTTAATCTGACAAAGGCGAGTTGCAGTCATGGCTGTTGTATGTTTGTATGTGTGTTTAAAATGCTCTCTTGTTGTCACCTGCTGTAGAGCAGAGATTTGTCGACTGCGCTGTTAGAACTCCGGTTAAAAGCAATGCAAATCTGTCACTAGAAACATCTCAGATGGTGCTTGTTTTCTCCCCACATTCACTGTGTTTTCTTTTGCAGGCCTCGGTAATTTGTCTGAAGTGTTCCATCACTTGGCAATGGCAGTGTGGGATTAAGACGGCAGCTGCCGTAAATGAATGTAAACACAGCCTTCGCGCCTTCAAACAGCGGCCTCCAAGAGTTGGCCTGCATCACCACGGCACAGCGTATGCAGTGTGTACGCAGCGTGTGTAAGGGGGCCCCCTTTCATCCTAAGGAGCATATCTAGCCTACGTCCTTGATTTATCAAGATGAATCGCTGTAGGAGCCACTTGCAGAGTATGCCATGCTCTGTTATAGAAACATATCGCTTAATCCACCCCAAGTTACCGGATGGGTGGCTCTTAGAATGGGCATTTACCTCTGAAATTGGTGTGTATGCTCAACGTTGCATGCATCTAGTTTGCATACAAATAAAGAATTATGGTTGTCGTGAAGCAGGTAGACTAAATGAGAGGCCCAGCTGTCTTGATGTGTTCTCATCAGGCAGAACAGATTTCTCTCTCTCTTGCTGAGTGAGATAAAGTGGTTTTCTTTCTTTTTGTCTGCAGTTAATAATTACCAATAATCTATTCTATCATATTTCAAGATCTCCTACATGGCTCTCAATTTTAAACAACAATTAAAGCAATTAAGACTGTCGCATTCGGAAGCCATGTTTCATTCTCTGCGAAACGTCCTCTCCCTCCTTGTCCATATGGTACTTTGCAGCAGTGACATAAGGACAGCTTGGAAAAAAAAGAGGAGGGGAGAAAACGATATTGCCTCTCATCCTTAATCTGTCGTTTACCGCGTGGTGTCTTAACTAACCAAGCTGACTCGCAGGGGCTATGCTTAAGTGGCAACCTAGTCATATCGGCGGATGATGAGAAGTGCTGCACCCAATCAAGGAAGGAAGTTTGTTTTCTTCTGACGAGACTCCTTCATGCGCATCAGCTCATGCTGTGAATACGATTAGTACGGAATAGCGTTCCGAGGGCATTTCCATGTAAATCTCAAATGCTGCTCCAGCATAAGTGTAATTGGCTTTCTTGTCATGGAGACATATCTGAACACACCATGTTAAATTGAAACAATTAACGGCTTCAAATGATTTCTGCTGTTCTGTGACAAATGCGTGACTGATTTCTGCTATTGTTTGGGATTGCTCTGCATAAATGGTCTCATGCTCCTCTAAAACGCTCTGATGACTGATCACCTAAGATTTAAAAGCTGCTTCGTGTGATTGCCAAGGCATAAAGCTAAGGGGGAAAAATCCAAAATGATGTCTTATGAAAAAAAAGGAGTCTTCAAGCACTAGATTAACATGGATGTTGTATTTATATTATCACAGTTAATAAAAGAGGGCCTAGGTTATGTAGCTTGGAGTGCTAATGCCATTATAAAACTGTAAGGCAATTACTCTGTTAGCTCTAGCCTGAGGTAATGAATGCATTTAGAAGCATAGGGCCATTAGATGAAGGTACTTCAAAGAGCACAGGAAGAGAGATTCATTTAAATACATGGGTAATTGCTTGACATGAACACATTTGTAATATTTTTTCCTTGTGGATTACACAAAGAATTGGAGAAGAATGGGCTTATGCTCATTTTGGGAGGGAACGAAAAGAATCCAAAGCAATCAGCTTAATAATAAAACAATATTGAGTTTCCACTTTTAATTTTATAATGAATCTAATTTGTTGCAGAGGAGAGAAATTGAGTGTGATATAATGTGATATCCAGTCTATTTGTCCATTACTGCCAGAGGGCACAAAATGGTATTATAAATTGTCTTTTTTATATTATGAATAGAAAATTGTTTTATAACAAGATCTTAAAAAGGAGGGTGAATTCCAAAGTCTCTCTTCACTTAACGCCATGCCCGCAAACCAATCTCCTTTCTCATCACTTGACTGCTCACACTTATTACTTTCATATTCACCCTGGACTTTGCATTGAATTTTTATATCTCTACTCCTCCCACAGGGTCAGGCTGTCATCTGCGATGTTGTCTTAGAATTACGAGGTAAACTTCAATCAGAGGCAGCTTCCCCCCTTTTTTCTCTGTGTAGCAACAATATTAGCGTGCATCCCTTGCTATCCATGAGCACTCCCATATTGGCTTTCTGTCTCCTTACAATTACCACGTGTCTTACTGGTCCCAGGGAGAAGGCTGGTGGAAATCAATAGCACAGTAATATTATCAACTGGAGGGTGAAGTCATGGGAGGGAGAGAACGGAGGAAGGAGGGGGGGGTGGCTGGATAGAGGTGGTGAGTGGGCTTGGTGTCGATTTGCCTTTCTGCTAATGCACATCGCGCTGTCCTCCAGCTTTATCTTCTTTTTATAGAGTCTCCCTGCCTCACCTGCACCATGTAATGGTTCTTCTCTGCCGTTCCTTCTCTCATTCCGAATGTGCGCGGCAGCCTCGGCCCGCCGCAGGCTTGTTTTATTAGGAATGTGCTTTTGACCCCGAGAGCTGACCCTCAGATGGCAAGCTTAACAATGACGAATCACTTCGTGGGATCATTTACATGCCCCCTGAACCCCATATTTGGGTCCATTAGAGAGCAAATCAAATATTTATGTTGTTTATTGGGAGTGCAGGGTTTCATCTCACTCTCTGATTGTTTCATGCAAAGGCCGAGAGACCGTGCTATATTAAGTATACGCTCACCCAGGAAACTAATCTCGGTCTCAGTGTCAACATCTGTCCAACAACCAGCCATGCTTTATATTCAAGGTTTCTTTGTAATAAAGCCATGTTACCTCTGGTAACATTGGGTCTGTGGTTGCAGAAAACATGTGACTTTGTTCATATACAGTGGCTCTCAGTAGTGTACATAGCTGTGTTAAAGTGCCAGGTTTTTGTGATGTAAATAAAATTAAATCTTTTTCACACTAATATATATCATGCAGAACTAAAGCAGAAAAACAATGTAGTTTTTTTTATTTGAAAAAGGTCCAATAACCTAGTTGCTTGGGTAATTATACCCTTAAACTAATACTTGGTTGAAATGCCTTTTAATTCATTTAATACACTATATTGCCAAAAGTATTTGCTCACCCATCCAAATTATTGGAATCAGGTGTTCCAATCACTTCCATGGCCACAGGTGTATAAATTCAAGCACCTAGGCATGCAGACTGTTTTTACAAACATTTGTGAAAGAATGGGTCGCTCTCAGGAGCTCAGTGAATTCCAGCGTGGAACTGTGATAGGATGCCACCTGTGCAACAAATCCAGTCGTGAAATTTCCTCGCTCCTAAATATTCCACAGTCAACTGTCAGCTGTATTATAAGAAAATGGAAGTGTTTGGGAACGACAGCAACTCAGCCACGAAGAGGTAGGCCACGTAAACTGACGGAGCGGGGTCAGCGGATGCTGACGCGCATAGTGCGAAGAGGTCGCCAACTTTCTGCAGAGTCAATCACTACAGACCTCCAAACTTCATGTGGCCTTCAGATTAGCTCAAGAACAGTGCGCAGAGAGCTTCATGGAATGGGTTTCCATGGTCGAGCAGCTGCATCCAAGCCATACATCACCAAGTGCAATGCAAAGCGTCGGATGCGGTGGTGTAAAGCACGCCGCCACTGGACTCTAGAGCAGTGGAGACGCGTTCTCTGGAGTGACGAATCGCGCTTCTCCATCTGGCAATCTGATGGACGGGTCTGGGTTTGGCGGTTGCCAGGAGAACGGTACTTGTCTGACTGCATTGTGCCAAGTGTAAAGTTTGGTGGAGGGGGGATTATGGTGTGAGGTTGTTTTTCAGGAGCTGGGCTTGGCCCCTTAGTTCCAGTGAAAGGAACTCTGAATGCTTCAGCATACCAAGACATTTTGGACAATTCCATGCTCCCAACTTTGTGGGAACAGTTTGGAGCTGGCCCCTTCCTCTTCCAACATGACTGTGCACCAGTGCACAAAGCAAGGTCCATAAAGACATGGATGACAGAGTCTGGTGTGGATGAACTTGACTGGCCTGCACAGAGTCCTGACCTCAACCCGATAGAACACCTTTGGGATGAATTAGAGCGGAGACTGAGAGCCAGGCCTTCTCGTCCAACATCAGTGTGCGACCTCACAAATGCGCTTCTGGAAGAATGGTCAAAAATTCCCATAAACACACTCCTAAACCTTGTGGACAGCCTTCCCAGAAGAGTTGAAGCTGTTCTAGCTGCAAAGGGTGGACCGACGTCATATTGAACCCTATGGATTAGGAACGGGATGTCACTTAAGCTCATATGTGAGTCAAGGCAGGTGAGCAAATACTTTTGGCAATATAGTGTATGTTTATATTTTCAAAGATGTCAAATCATGTTTAAAGTCAATCTTATCAGTGTGGAATATGGATCAACTGGCCTTGCAGGCTTTTTATACAGCTTCCTCTTTCATTTTGAAAAGTAACTCATGATCTCACAAAACAGTATTATCAGATAGAAGAATAGTACCAAAATGTAAAATGAAAGCGATATTAAATGATTGATAGAGCTCTTAGAAAGCTTCACAAACTTATTCCTAACAACAATTGTATTTTATATAAAAACTTCCATTTCTCTTGCAACTACAGGTACCTTTACTAAGAAATTGGACTGCTATACAAATCCTTTTTTAGTTCAAGTAAAATTTTTAGTGGGAGAAAACCAAACTAGAACCTTGGGCCATGATTCCAAAAGATCTTTTTGACTATAAACACCAAAAGACCTTCTAAAAGAACCACATGTCTACAGTGACACAAGGTGAAAGAAACGTCATGATTTGATAGTTTGTTTCTTGGAAATTTGGATCTTTTTCAAAATGAATTAAAATATTCTGAGTCAAAACCAGCAGTGTATGTTGTCTGTTAACACCTCAAATGGAAGAGGGGTTTTATTTTTCAACATTACTAGGAGTCTAAGCATATATCCTTTTTAATGAGATATTAGTGTTTGGAAAGAAGAATTGAAGTTTTGGAATTGCCTGGACAGAATCCTAGACCAAATTTGACCTGTGTGGTCACTTAAAGAGCTGTAGAAAAGAGTTGTCTGGAAATATGTCCAAGATTTCCAACTTAATCAGTTTTTGTACAGGACAATTTTCACGTATGTGGGAAACAACGTGAAATGATTTATAGTTCTACCATTTTAACATGAGGTGTACACTTTGGAGAGCCCTTGTAAAACTCTAGTCTTACCAGCAGAGATAGAATCGCGGATATAAAAGGTAAGGGAACTTCACCTTTTGGTCAGCGTTTACCCCTGAAATTAGAGTAACATTTCATGTCGAGGTGTAGCTTCCTGTCTCCGCAGGGACCAGGTCTAATTGAAACATTTCATATACTGAGCCAAAGACTAGCTGTGAAGTTCCATTTCTCCAGGATGCCTTGGTCAAACATCTATAGCTAACACACACTCTGTTCTTTATTAAATTGTCTGTTGGACATTAATAATATTGTTGTGTTGCTTGCTGGGATGTAATAGGTAAGGTCTTTAAAGGTTTCCCAGTATTATTAAAACTCCAAGGTGGCCCCCGCTTTACGGCATGCCGAGGGGTTCTGAATTGACTAATCAGTCATATTATTACTTTTGACACATCTGAAGGGTTGGTCATCACAATGGTTACTGGCAGGGTGGCAATTAGAGAAAACACACAGATTATATCAGTGAGAAGCTGAAAGAGGAAGAATCAAAGTAAAAGAATAAAGGGATCAAAAAGACCACGCAAGCGAGGATCTATAAAACAAAGACGTGAACACCTCCGTTTTAATGCTAAGTTCTTTCTCTCACTTTGGCCCATTAATGTGTGATGCCAAACTGATGTGACTTTCAACTGGAAGATGAAAAAAACAAAACATTTTAAAAGCCAAAGCATAATAACATGCAGTCTTTGTCTATTAGTTGCAGTAAGACTAGAAGGGTTTACGGCACAGAGTCCTGTAAACAAAAGATTAAACCAAATCGAGCCGCAGAAAATGAAAGGAAAACATGAGTGGGGTAATGAGGGTGCAGGCGTCGTTTCTGACCAGATTACCATCTCCACAGACTACTGGAGAGGAAAACGCCTGATTGAGCTATTTTACCACACAGAGAGTTTACGCCTCTCTCCCCACACACAAAAAACCAATACCATTACCACGCTGGTTGGTGGGTGAGCCACATATGTGGAGCAAAAGCTGTTAGCGCTTAGGGTTGCAGTGCTCTGCACTGATGGGAATGTTATTTAGTTTATTTGTCACAGAGTATTATCAAGACATTAGCTGGATCGTTCAGGATTTCTGTTAAGGTTCTGTTAAAGGAATATAAGCAGTTAATATCTTACTTCAAGTACCTAATTCTCTGGCTGTGTTGATTAAGTATAAATCTAGATCAGTTGATCATAGAAGCTGAAATTTGCGGCAGAGAACCTGTCAGATCTAGATAAAATTAAATCCCACAAATATCACAGTGGTTGATGTAAATGTTATTTTACCAAAATATGAATGTACCTTGTGTGTGCAGTGGATGATTACAGGTGATGGCAGCAACAAAATATGTTGTTTTGTAATCCACAGAGTTAGATAGTCACTTAAAAAAATATTTCAGGAGGACTTGTGCTTTGTCATACGTTTTAATGCTGTACTGAGTAAAATGAGTTGGATACTCTCCCCACCTTGGGTAACTCCAAAGCTCTGGTGAATATAGAGTAAACAGCAGATGTTGTCACTGCAAATTCTTGATCCTTTCCCAATATTCAAGCATTATCTACAGTAAAGATTGTATTTAAAAGTATTTCTTCCATTTATTTCATAATCATCTTACTTATTTTTTTTTTTCAATTAACTTTTTAATACATTGAAAGACAATAATATACACATTATTCTCAGTCTGGTTGCCTAATTTCAAACATCACATGTTAGGATCTAATGCTTCTCAGTACGTGAAGTACCTTTTCACTCTTGAGAAATTTCATGAGAAGAATTTTACTTGAGTAAAAAAAAAAATGCAGTAGTGCTGCTCTCACTTAAGTACATTTTTTGGGTACTCTACCCATTTCTGGTAATACATGTACTGACAATGTATAGTGTAAAATCATCCTGATGTTAAAGCAAATGGGTTTAACAAGCAATACATTATTTAGGTGCAAGCATCCTTTTATGATGTTATATGCTGCCGCTGTTCAGTTTTCAGTATGTTTTACAGAAGATCACTTGTGGCACATCACCAGTGTGCATGCCTCCATTGTTAATTACTAGTTTCGTTTTTACCTGTGATGTACCTGAAGTACCTGTCTAGACTGTACTCTGTTCAACAACTATTAGGCAAGGGTAGTTCTCCAACAACAAGCTACCAAGGACTATCAGGTATACCCAATGGGTAACGACCCTACTTGGACTAACTGTTAGCTTAAGCCTCACAAGCAAACTAGTATGGATTAAAACTAATCTAAAGATATTGGCAATTCATTTCTCCACTCTGTTAAGACAATGTACTGACCTTTGGTAACCTCTCAGGATCACCAGGGTGTCTGGGGATGACCTTCTGAAGCCTCTGGAAACCGTAGTCGATGGTGGGCTCATTCAGGGCTAGAAAACAGAAAAGGGGGGATTAGATTTAATTCACGGCTATTTTTTGAGATATGAGGGAACTAATTGAAAGAATTGGGAGTTTATAGAACAGAAATAATATCAGAATGCCTAATTTCAGAGAAACCTCAAGGGGGGATGCAGAAACAGATTCTTTTTGACACTTGTGTCACCTAGTGCTATTTCATTAGCAGCCATGACCTACATCAGTCTAAGAATCCTTTTGTGAGACCCTCCCCCTTTTGATCTGTTTGGGAATATTGACTACAGTAAACTACATACTGGGGGTCTTTTAATCTAACAGAGCTTTAATAATCTGTGAAAGACTGTCCACACATTGATCTAGTGTAAGTTGCTGTCATTTCACCCTTCTGCACCAACTGTACTGCAACACTGGGCCTGTGAAATACGGTGGCAGATCCCATGGAGCCATTAATCTCTCCCACCCCTCAAACAGTAATCTGGGGCATGAGGCATATTGGGCGATGAATCAGAGGCACAAAGTAAATGAATCATAACCCAGACTTTGGTGAGAGCCGGGCGTTTTATGTCTGACAGTCCTAATGGGTAATTGAAGGTTTCCTTACAGCTCCGCCTGATTCTAAACAATCATGTGTACACTCACAGAGAGGCCGGGGGGAGGAGGGTTAGGAAGGAGGAGAGCAGTGTAAAAGGGGAAGGAATGGCTTAATAGAGAACATCACTTCTCAATGTAGATATCATTTTCAGGAGAGTAACTCCGCCAAGCAAGGCGCTTCATAAATCAATGGCTTTCTATGGAGACTAATAAGAGCTGCCTGCCTCTATTCATTGTTCAGCCTGTAATTTGGCCCATCACTCATTACTCAGCATGTAATTTCAGCATTAACACCACACAGCTCGCTGAACCCGCTGAATGTATAAGCAAGTGAACAAAACCCCCTACAATTACAGAGAAATACACACACACACTGACTAGTTGGTATGTCTATCCTCAGTGGAACGGATTTCTGTCCATTTAAGTCAGTCTATTTGTACCTAACCCTGACCATCACCAGTACCTGCCCAACATCATAACCTGACTCTAACCCTTAACCTTAATGTTATGTTGTACTGCACTTGGACAAAGTCTACTAGTCTTTAAAAGATTGCTTTGGCAGAAAACAGTCCTAAACACACCATAAGCATTCACGCTCATACGCAGTCAAGGAGTCAGGGCCGGTGATAAAAAAGCCACAAAATGAATCTCTCCAATTTCCTAGGGTTACCCCTAACACCACCCACTCCTTTATCTTGTTGCACTTATTAAAGGGATTGGGTAAAATTTACCACTGCAAAAGAGGACGCTTCTTCCTCAAGCTGATACTTAATCAGTTCTTACCAATCACAAATCTGACCTAATATATATTCAAAAAATATCTGCAAGTTCTGCAGTAGTAGATGAATCAAAATCATATGTCAAAGTATTTGACTAATATTGTAATAAATAAAATTATTGCAAAGAGAACGTGATATGCATTAAACTACAGAATATACTGCTTGTTCTGATGGTAAAAAATATGTAGATATTTTACCATTAAGAGTATGTTAACTTGAAAATCATTTGTATTAAACTTCAACCCTGTTTTTACATAAATTCTAAATTTACGATATGGATTCAAAAAGGGTTTTAGCCCTTAGAACCAAAGAGCTGGGAGTTGAGATAAAGGGTTCTGGTTTGAAACGGGTCTAAATGGGAATCAGGACTTTATTTCTACACCTACTGTTGACAGAGACACTAATTTCTTATTCATTCAAACTTGCTTTTACAATTGAACACATGCACCAGTAGTGCTAAATGCTGAATACAGTAATTGCCAACTCGGGCATGGTCAAACAAAGCAATTATGTACTCAAGCATGGACAATGTGGGGGCTCTAATCGATAGCAAGGATCAAGCTTACAAACACAGTAGTATTCAACCCAATAGTGGAGATACACCTGAATAAACCCAATGCCACAGCTACATACACTGCTGGAAATATGATTTGACATGTCATCATGTGTCTCAAAATGACAAAGGTCCGCTTTGGAATGTATGGAGGGAAAGCCATCTTCTCCTTAATAAAGGATTGATCTGCCATATTGATCGTACATGACAAGGCTGTAGCGAGGAATTTGCCCCCTTTTCTTTTGTTATTTCCAGTCCCCTCCTTATGCTATGCACTCTGGCAGACCCGTGTATGTGTACACACACGAGAGTGTGAGTGCCCATGCCCTGCCTGGAAAACGCGTATGTGCTCGACGGCCCTGCCAGACCCTGCTGCTCAGTGTGATGTAAATTGTGTATGTGTAAAAAGCACTCCATAATCAGGCCATCCATCATCAGAGGCTGTCAGTGGGCTCTCTTAGGGTGATACATCACGCTCTCCTGTCCTCTGCCTCAGCTGGGGCCTGCACAACCCGCCAGGCATGCTGGGAACTCTGCCGGACAGATGTACAGTACAGAGCGAGAAAGAGATCAGGAGAAGTTGACTTTCTGACATATCTTTACAATGTTAATGATGCCCCTACTGTAATTTCCTGTCTAAGAATTACAATGAATGTGATTTGGAGGGCTCAGTTTGAACCGGGTTCTGGTGCCAGACCAAAAATATATACTAAAACTTGTCTTAGTTAGTGTCAGAACTCAGTGTAGTCCCCATTCCAGCACGAGACATGATCTCCCCATGCCGGCATGTCGCCGTCTCATCTATCATGGAGATGATCTTTGTAACAACCCTGGCGTAATGAAATTGGTGACATAGACCGCCATCTGCTATTGATTTCATGCAAATGCTTTTGACAGTTGATGGAGACTTGCATTAGTGCTAAACGGTGCTGTCAGTTGATGAGTTGACAGTTTTGTAGTCATAGCGTGTAACGCTGGTGCAGACAGGCACAGACAATGTCAATAATCCTGTAAGAGCTGCTGATGATATATACTGAGCACTTATATTCAGTCTCAACAATAAATGTGCAGTTGTTGCACTCCTCTGCACATTTTTTCCTCTGTGCAAAGATTTCCTTTCAGCTGCTGAGCTTTTACAAGAATCATTGGGACCACTCTCGTTACGTTTTCTTGCATTGACAGGCGTGTTTCCACATTTTTACCCTCTTCACCTCCAAGCCTTTTTCAATCCTCAACACCTCGTCACGTTCTTACTTCTCACTCATAAACTTTACGCTATTATGAAGAGGTGCAATGATCCTATGCCAAAATTTGTCTGGTCCTCCTTGACCTTTCAATGATAAGGGAAGGCAGTCTCACACCCCCCCTCCACCATTCTTACGCCTTCTGTAAGACTTCTGAGTCGCCTCAAGGAAACATGAAACCCTCCACACTCATCCCATAAATCCTGCGCTGGGTAGGGAGTCTAGCCGAAGGGAGGTGGAGGGACAGAGAAAACTATGGGAGGTATGGCAGGGAAGGAGGGGGGGGTCAGTGGCACGTTCCAGTCACGCCCGCTTCCCGGCCCGCGGCCAATCAATACCACTTTCCTGTTTTAGAGGCGGGTAATTATGAGGTGGAGAGATTGTGTGACCTCTCACCCCTGCTGCATTACTCGCCTGATATTAAGATAAATTGCCTGATTTTGGGTAAACATATGCTGCAATTCAAACTGTCAGCACTGGTTTGCTCAGGGATAATTTGTATTGATCTCCTGGCTTCTTCCCCATTTTGCTTACTGACCTCATGGATAATTAGAGAAAAAGAGACACAGGGAGGTAAGGCAGGGCTTGCATTTGAATACTTTGCTGGAGAGATGAAGAGCACATGGGGAGGGGGGCGGGGGGACATTAGACACTAATAGAATTTTCATTTTCTTTCATTTTCTGCACAGATTTAGACAGGTTGCATGTTTTGTTCAATTATATTCCTTTATATCTCTTCGCCCTGCCTGGATCACAGATGCTTCATGTTTTAATTTCCAAGATGATAGAAATTTTCCTAACCGAATGTGACAGCAAATATGTTTCAAATTTAACAGCTGATAACTTAAAGAATTATGGCCACGTGTGAGCAGAATTAGTATGATAAGTAGCAAAAGCACTTTCTACGGGCCATCATGAAGATTTGGAAGTAGATATTTTTATTACTATTTTAATAATTCTCTCCAGAGACTGAATGATCAAGTTTCAGAAAATGAAGAAATGGAATGCATGACTCTGAGAGCAGCTGTGACCGTATCGTTTCCTCTTTTGAACAGCCTCGCATGCGCACACTCGCACCCATGGCAGGCCTAAAGTTAAATTCCACTTCCCTGGAATGCAAGCTTCCCAATCTTATTTCTAAGTGACGCCCTAATCTGCTCCCCTTCATTCCTGCTATGTTTTCTCCAAGAGGGGCTTTAGCAGCCTTGGTTGCAGCCACCTTACTTAAAATGTAGAGTGGATCGCTTGTACATGGCATACGAGTGTGGTGTGCTGCTCAGTTCTCCATGTTCTCTGGAAATAGGACATGAGTAACCGCTCTGAGAGAGCAGAGAAACATGGCCGGTTGCTGGCAGCCAGAAGTGCTTACATGGCAATACAGCAGTGTGTGCCCTCAATCTATATGAAAGTGGACTGAACACGTGTATTGACTTACAGTATCAGGGCATAAACATAGGGAAATGTTTGAGCAAAGCAGTAAATTCAAGGGAAATTGTTCCTTGTTAAGTCTATGAGCGTGAATGGAAGCTTGCACAGAGTACTAGCATTCCTGCCAGCCATTACAGCTTATTACGATAACTCTATCTTTCCAGGAGATAAAAACCTAGCCTTGTTGCCATTTGCCAGCTATTACTTTCGCTAATTATACTTAACTGCTTCGAGCTTATCTCCACTCCTCCTACACCATTGAGCAGTTATTTTTTTTTTCCCCCCTTAACACAAATTAGAGGTGGAGTGGGAGTTGGAAAAGGGGAGACAGATAAACAGCGCAAGCAAGAAGTTCATTCAAGTGTTATTGCATTTGTGACTTGTCAAACAGTCAAACTGAAGCCCTTTAGGCACCTGCA